AAAAAAAATTAAAAAAAAAAAAAAAAAAGCCGTTCTCCAGTCACACTTGTTCAGTAAAGCAGCGCGGTGGAAGGAAGGAAAGCAATAAGGCTTTACAGTCAGATAACTTTGGATTTCAGGCCCAGTCTTGTCAACTTAAGAGCCAGGTGACCTGGGATAAGTCATTTAACCTTTCCGGACCTCAGGTTGCCCTTCTATAAACCAGGGGTCATAAGCTCCGCCTCCAGACGTTCCATGGGTAGCAGGTGTATATGAGGGAGGGTTGTCTGCTGAGGGACCAGGTGCCATCGGCATCGCTCTATTGCCCCAGGAAGCCTTGCTGTGCTAACAGGACCGCTGTCTGACGTGGCAATTAACGTGGCTTGATTAAGGCATACGCTTCATCAGAGGGAGGGGCAGCTTGCAGACAACAACAGATAACCGGAGAAGAGGGATCTCGGGGGTCCAGATTCTTCCATCAGCCATAGAAAGGCATGCCCGGGCCCAGGCACGTTTGGTCTGTGTTCCCATGAAGAGACCCCTCCTTCCACGAGTTTCCCTTCCTGTAGAGTAATCTTAGGAAAGTAGCTTGCTTTCTTTTTTTTTTTTTTTTTTTTTTTAGGGTTTATTTATTTATTTTGAGAGAGAGTGCAAGTGGGGAGGGGCAGAGAAAGAAAGAATCGGAAGCAGGCTCTGCGCTGACAGCTCAGACTGATGCAGGGCTTGAGCCCACACACCTCGAGATCATGACCTGAGCCGGAGTCGGACGCTTAACCGACTGAGGCACCGAGGCGCCCCAGGAAATAGCTTCATCAGTGGGCAATGCCTAGACAGCTTGGACCAGTAGTCTGGGTGCAGGGGGAGAGGGGCAGCGGAGGGGAGGAGGCAGTGCACAGAGAATACGTTTTCCTGGCCTAAGAAGCCACAGTAGGCTCCGGCTAGCCCTTCCCTATCCTCTGGGCCGGGAGACCCTAGGAAGAGGAAGTGACTCTGTGATTCTGTCACTGCATTAGAACCGCACATGCCCGCATCTTGAACACTTGGGACTGGATCCCAGACGGTCTCCCCAAGGAGGAGCGGAGAGACAGGCTGTCTAATACCAAGTAAAAAGAAGCTCAGGGATGCTGGAAACATTCACAAAGCAGAGTTGGTTCTTAGCAGAACCATGGGTTTCATTTTGGGATGAAATAAACATCTCCCTCCCTGACAAGTGAGTTGAACTAGAAGTGCTTTCTTTCGACTTGTGCGATAGAGTGATGAGTCTGGTGAGATCCGGCGACTACAGGCTGGTTCGCAGAAGGATTTTTATTTGCTTCTCAGTCTTCGTACGAAGCAGAGGGTCTGTGCGGTCGGTGGGCACCGTGACATAGCTCTGACAATTCTCCAGGAGGAGGGAGCACCAGTGGCTGAGTAAGGCCCAGGCCACAGTCTCTGTGCCCAGCACCCACAGTCCTGCGGTGAGTTAAGGTAAACGACCGTATCCACTCTGGAACAAAATAACTAAACAGTGAGATCCAAGCCTTGTTCTGAAAGGAACGATTTATTTAAAAATAAACCTTTGCCTGGGAAGAGAAGCAAAGGCAACCAGCTCACATTCCCGGTGCCGACGTCTCGATAAAAGCCGGTGTCCAAGTGGAGGCTGTGAGGTACGGGATGGGCTGCCCAGGAAGGTGGTGGGTCTCCTCTCCCAGCAGCCATCAGGATAGGGTCAAAGCCTCACCAGCCTGCGATGATTAAGTATGGTTCTGTCTAACAGGCCAATGAACCAAACGCCCGGTCAGTGACCCTGCCTCCCCCCCCCCCCCCCCCCCCTGTTTCTGCCATTACAAATTATGCGGCCATTAACATCCTTGTACATCAGCCTTGGGTGTGTTCGCTTCTCTGGGGGTAGATTCCCAGGAGTGGAATTGCTGAGTCGAAACTTCAAGTCTTTCATTGTAATAGATGTTGTCACACAGCTTTCTCAAACGTCCATAACCATTTGCAGCTCCAGCAACAATGCAGGAGACTGCCCGTGGCTCTTCATCACCGCCAACAAACCCGTTCCAGCTGCAGTCGCCCGCCCCCCCCCGCCACCCCATCCGCAGTTCCGCTGCCCGTGGTTTCTGTTACCCGAGATCAACCGCCCTCTGAAGGCAGATGACACTTCTGCTGCTGGAAGGTCAGAAGGTCAGCGGTGGACTAACGCTACGTCACTGCGCGTGTGTCACTCACGCCACTTCGTCTCATCACGCCGGTATTTTATCATCTCCCATCATCACAAGACGGGTGAGTACAGAACAATAAGGCGTTTTGAGAGACCACATTCACATAACTTCTCTGACAGCATATTGTTACCATTGCTCCATTTTATTGTTAGTTAACTGCTGTTTATTGTCGATCTCTTACTGTGCCTAATTTAGAAATCAAGCCGTATCATAGGTATGAGTGTATAGGTAAAAACATGGTGTAGATAGGGTTCGACACTTTACGCAGTTTCAGGCATCTGCTGGGGGTCTAAATTTTTTCCAGGCTGCTAGATATAAAGTCAGTTCAATCTGCGGTTTCTCTGGCGAGCGTGTGTATCCTTTTGGAAGTTTGTTGCTTTTGAGATCTGCTCTTTTCTGAGTTGTCCCTTCCCCCCACTTTTCCCCCTTTCTGGGGGCTTATCAGTTAGAAGGGGCAATGTTCTTTGCACATTGTAAATATTTCACAGTGAGGACTTACCTTCTTCAGCTTGAGAAAATTATTTTCTGTTCATTGAAAAAAAATTTCTTTCGACTCTGTTTTCTGTGGTCACCTTGGAACTCTCATCGATGAGCCGCAAGTCCAGAGGGCAGGCCGTCAGGAAGAGCGAGGACACGGTGGAACCACGGCACGAGCCGGGCTTCCCCCCCACCCCCCGCCAGGGACAGAGCGGAACCTCTGCCCTTGGTGGTGCGGTGTGCAGGTTGCCTGTGGTCGAGGGGCCGAATACACACCTGGCCCGGGGGTCAGAGCAGCTGAAGGAGGATGCAGGGGAAGTGGGGCAGGTGCAGAGCCAGCAGATAACTTGAACTGCAAATTGGTTGCCGATTCACCCCCCCCCCCCCAAGTCTTGGCTTAAGAATCTCTCTTGTGGTCAAAATGTACAGCAAAGGAAATTCTGGGAAATATGGTTCAGCCTAGCCTGTGGACACATTAGAAGGCCACAACTTCCTTTGAAATCTAATTTAAGGGGCGCCTGGGTGGCTCAGTCGGTTAAGGGTCTGACTTTGGCTCAGGTCATGATCTCATGGGTTGTGGGTTGGAGCCCTGCATCGGGCTCTGTGCTGACAGCTCAGAGGCGGCTTCGGATCCTCTGTCCCCCTCTCTCTGCACCTCCCCCATGTGCTCTCTCTCTCTCTCTCAAAAATAAATAAATGTTAAAAAAAAAAGAAATTTAACACTCAATCTATTTAACGCTCCTATAACACACACATAGCTATGCACCAACTTCTCTTCTAAACATTTTATGTATATTAACTCATTTCATTTTTAGAATGCCCCTATAGGTAGCTGTTATCAATGACCTTATTTTACAGAGGCGAAACCGAGAACAGAAAGGTTAAGTAAACTGCCTAACGTCACACAGCTGGTAAACGGCAGAACTGGGCTTTAAACCCAGATAGTCTGACTCCGGGGTCTGTGTGTTCTACCATTCCACTCTGCAAAGATCGTGTTGCCCTCTGGCCAAATGGGTAATTACGAGTGAAACACTGGTGAGGTGTAGAACTTTATGTTGGGAATTGCTTCTTTGGTTGTGTTTTTATTTTGGACTCTCCCAATGGAAATGCTCTGTCGAATTTTTTTGCGCTGAGGAATCTGTTCCAGTAAATAGAGGGTCAAGATTAAGACAGACTGCTCAGAGAGTCTGCATTCTGCTCTCACTTGATTTCTCTGTTTTAGCATCATGAGTGCACGCCTGGCCCTCAGAAGGATGAGGTGGGCTCTCTCTGGAGGAAGTGTGGGTGCTCCCTCCGTGCTCCTCCTGTCTCTCTGCGGGCTCTGGGCTCCTGAGGGCTGAGTCCCAGAGAGTGTGTCTGCAGCCTGCGCCGTATAGACAGGAGCTAAGAAAGTCTGCTTTGCCCCCAGCACCATTCCCCTGGCTCATAGGCGGAAGCCCAGGGTGCCTCCATGTCTTGGAAAAGCCTGGGGTCTTTAACAGTGAACATTAGTCCTGTCTCAGCCACCGGGAAGTCACAGAAATGTCAGGCCGCCTTCCCTGTCCCTTTAACCTTGGAGTAGTTGGGCCACCAGAAAGGGTGAGGGAAGCAGGCTTATCCCCCAGCACTTGTAACCCTGCCCTCCCGCTCAGAAGCCCCTCGGCCACGTCTTCTGCCAAGGACCTGGGTGAGTAGGGTCACGCAGCCTCCTCAGCTCCTTCCAGGAGCCGGGGCCAGCGTGCACCTGCTCAGGCACACAGCCTTCCCACCTGCACTTCTGGGTCCTGCCACCTGTGGCTGTGGTGGACAGTGCAAGATTAACAGACACTGATCCCCAAGAGTGAAACCTAGGGTGGATGGAGCCGGGGGGAAATCTGCAACTGCACAGCTGGATCCTTGCCTGCCCCGGGAGCCCCCGGGCACAGGGAGAAGGCCAGCTGAGACATGACCTTGGGTCCCATCTCGAGCATGCATCAGAATTCCCTGGGAGGGTTAGTATACCACACTGCGACCCCAGGGCTTCTGACTCAGTGGGCCTGAGAATACAAGTTCCCAGCTGATGCAACTACCACTGCTGGGAAGGCCCCCCCCCGCCCCCCCCCCGCCTTGGAGGGCCACTGCCTTACTGAGCATCGCCTTCTCCTCCGGGGCACGTCACCATTCCAGTACTGACAAATCATTGCTGTCCACCGGCCAGGGAGCAGCCTGGAGGCTGTCTTTCCTGCCCAGCCCCCTCACTGAGTTGGTCAGCATCAGCAAAACCACCTGGACGCTCGAAGCCAGACAGCCCAGGAGGCCCCGGCCCTCTGGCTGTTGATCCTGACGGTCTACACAAAGTGTTCACTGTGGCGTGAACTTGCTGACAAGCACCACCCTGTGTTTGGGGGATGAACCAAACCTTCATCATGTTAGACCCGTGGATTCCTGGCTCTGAAAGCTGACACGAAAGCTCCCCCTGCGCCCTCAGCCAACCCACCCCTCGGCCATCCTCCCCAGCCGGGCCGGAGGTCTACCAGCTGCCTCCTGTGCTGGAGCTCCCCACACCCCGCACAGTAGAGCCGTGACTAAGTGTGCCCCGCCGCTTTCCCAGCACGATCCTCCTTGGCCCTGAACAGCTTGTGCCCTGACCTAGTATTTAAAGCAGAGACACGTGCACAGACTGGCAGAGGAGAGTGGCTCAGGCCTGCGTCCGGGGACGGCAGCACATCAGAGCATGCGTGGAAGCTCGGAGGCAGCCCCGCTTGACATGAGTCCCCTTCTCAAAGCCTCCATGGAGGCGTAATGAGTTCTCTGTTCCTGGCTTGCAGTCAGGGTCGCGATTTTCCTGTTGTTCTCTCCCCTCCCCAGCCTGTCTTCCCATCACCATGAGCTTCAGGTGATGAGTGAGGTATTTGCATATAGGAAGAGCTCCCCGCGGTGTTTAAACCCAACCTTCCGGCCCAGGGGTCTTAACCTGAGCATTGAACCCAAGTGTGGATTAAAGGGTGGGTAGGCCATCAGGTGCTGAGGTATCTATCTATAAAGTGCCCCAGACAGCATGAGAATAAATCAGAAAGATGGTACCTTCTAATTAAGGTTTTCACAGGCAATACTTGGCCTAGTGGAAACACTTGAATTGCCCTTGCTGTCAGTCTCAAACAAACAAAGAGAACGTCTCTCACCGGAGGTCTTTCTGTTGAGCATTTTTGCATGGTGCTCAGCCAGCGGGCAGCTGCTCGCTGTTCACAGTCAATAGAATTTTCCATGGGGTTGTACTGACTACCAGAAATTAGTCCTTTATTTAACTAACTTTTAAAGAGGTTCCAGAAGTTCAGAAAACTGCATGGATGTGATAACTTCTAATCTCAAACAAAGAGGAACATGAGTTTTATGAATATAAAGTTTGTTTTTCTCTGCTGCCAGCAATAACTACTCAACAAGTATTTGTTAAAAAATTAATTTGAAAGGGATGCGAAATTATCGCTTGCAGCACATCTCAGTCTGACCCCGTGCAAATGCTTGAAAGTGTGTTCACGTATAGTTTTCTGGGTGAGTATTCATAGCTTTTGTTGCATTTTCAAAAGAGCTTTGAACGACCCCAGCAACTGGAACAGAGGAGGACCCACTGGCTAAGAGGAAGCTCCCAACGCCTCACCTCTCTTCCCCACCCCCTTCCCTCTGCCCAACTCTCTTCATTCTTGGCTTTTCCTTGTCATCTGAGGTGTGACGAGCCTGAAGCCATGTGTTTCACTAATCACCATCATCCTCTGGATTAAAATAAGCTGGAAGGGTTTTAGGATCCAAGTAAAATAATGAATATAAACAGGCTCTACAAAATTATACAGAAGCGAGGAGTTAAAGAAAAGTTAGGAGTTGACAGTATCGTGAATGTAGTGAATGGCAGATACGCGATCCCTTGACCACTCTGTCCGCAGGCTGTTTACTTACTGTTGTAAGTGCTGAAGTGCGAGGATGATATTAGTTAATGTGTGTTGGTAAATTTCCTATGTCAGTTACTCCCTGTACCAACTCCGCCCTCTTGAGCTAAGTAGCTTTATCCCCACTTTACAGACAGGAAACTTAGGCCTGGAGAGTTTATGTAATGTGTCCAAGTTACACAGAGACAGGTTTGAACTGGAGGCATTCTCACTTTGGTCCCCAACTTTTAACCACTATTGAGCGACTGCTGTCAGCGACGGATGACAATTGACTTCTGGCATCTTCACAACGAATCTATGAAATGAATAAATACACTGTCATTACGCATATTTTATGAAAGTCACAACCGAGCTGGAGATTGCCAGTGTCTCTTGCCACAAGGCCACAGAACTGGCAACTATGGAGGCTCAGGTTTACGCCAGACAGTCCTACCGTAGGGTTCACACACTTAACCTTCGCACTGAAATGATAGGTTTAAGGACCC